TTCGAACTCCAAATTCAGTGCTATGTTAGTACTTCAAGTCAATAGCCTTCAAAAGTTTAAGTAGGGAGCATTTGTAGGCATATAAATTTTATTAAAATTAAATTTATAAAATAATTTGAATTATATTTTAAAATTCAAGATATATTAGTCCAAATAAATATTATGGGCTAATATAATTGAATTACTTATATAAGTCAAATATATATAAATTAAATAAATAAGTCTTAATCCATTGGGGTAGCCCATTTAATTGGGCTAAAGTGATGAGCCCACTTCATTAACCCCAAAATGTCATCTTCCTAGAGGCCTAGTTTGGTACCACATGTCATATGACGTGGCACGCCAAGTCAAGCGAAAGAGCCAATCNATCAAGTTCAAGCTCAAGAACGAAGAACAAATCAAGATTCAAGGAGTACGAGTTCAAATCAAATGTCGTGCTAGTTGAATTCAAGATCATCATTCGTGGCAACAACTATATATTCAAGATCAAGCTCAAAGGCCTTTGGATTTATTTACTATTGGAAAGAAGAATTAGAGGATTCATAGAGATTGTACACTCAAATTATTTGAAATCAAATACTACGATTGTTGCAATATTTTTCGGTCTCGATTTTATTTTCCCGACGCAAATTTATTGTCTACATAGTATAAAAGAAACTAAGAAAATACTAAAAAATATAAATCACACGAGTGGAAAGATATAAACCAATCTGGGACTCAAGAATAAAGTCTATAGAAAATTAAATATTCAAAAAGATAAATTTAAATCATCCGAAAGGAAACATATTCAATACATTGCAGTTTGCTACTCATAATCGCTAGAATACCTTATGTCTTGCTAGTGAATATGCGGTAAATAATTCAATTTTAATAGGATTAGCATAATAGGTTTGAAAATTAGGATTTTGATTTTAATTACTTGTTGGCTTGTAACCATTTTCATAATTTCACGGCCCAAGAAAAAAATTAATGCTTTATTATTTTTAAACTTAATATATAAAAATTATTTTTACGTGTAAATTTATTCGGTACAGTTCAGTATTTTTTCAATTTATTTTTCATAAAATAAAAAACATACCCTAGTTATAGGTACAATTATAAATGTATATTAAAACCTACGATTTTATTAAAAAAACCTGAAAAATAGTTCGGTACGGTACATTTCGTTCGGTTTAGTCGATTTTTAAATATCCATTGACACCCCTAGTTATAAGACAAGTTTGTTTGCTAGCATATTTTTTTTTATATTACAAAAAATAAAAAATAGTAATGAATTTTTTTTTTGATTAAAGATTTTGAGTTTATACTTCTTGTTTTAATAAATAATATACTACAATCACATCTCTCTATAACAACATCCCTATATAGCAGCCATTCACTATAAAAGTCAAGTTTTCCTCAGAATCGATTTTTTAAGTTTTATTTTACCTCTCTATAACAGTTTTTTACCATAACAACAACATCCATATTTAGAGTAAAACGTTCTTTGTAAATTTATCCCTCTGTAACAGCCATATAGAATCTTTAAGATTATTAATAATAATTCTAGAAATATGCACATAATCTTTTCCATTAAACAAAGTTTCTATCTTGCAAAAAATATAAGATCTGAAGTCTGAAAATGTGCATTTGATATCTTTTCCATTGGTCAAATTCCAAAAAATATTTAGATAGAAAATTTAACTATTAAGCTCTTATACTGTATTCAAGGAAAAGTTATTGGATACTTTTTTGCTGAAAATTTGGACACGAATCTTTGCCAATTCAAGCGTTATATCGTTGTTAAATAGAATAAAATCTATGATCAAGCTACAATTACAAAGTTCTTCCATCAATCTTGAAAGAATTTATTTGTCTAGGTAACTTTAAATTGTCTGGCTCAGAGTTTAAATCTTTATACGTTTAACTATGAATTTACTAATAATGTATTAGTTTTTTTTAATATTTAACTAGTGAAATATGCATATCTTTTAAAATTTTAAATTTGAATATTTTTTTAATCTTTTATATGTAATATTAAAAAGGAAAAAATATTTAATTTTTGGATATGTTTTATCTATAATAGTCAAAAAATATTTAATCGTTAAATACTAATATATGTGTATAACAAGGTTATTATAGAGGGGTGAATTTGAATTAATCTAATTGACGAACACCAACAAATCAGAATGGTTAAAGAAAAAGAGGGTACGTTCGGTTAAAATAATTTCTAGAAATTTGGATAACCACACATAACAGTGTGATCTCTCACAATAATCCAACACAATTTCCCATGAGTCCCCCGTATATTAAGGCATGGTTATCCTCATCTCATATTTATTATAGCTCTAGTGATTTGGACAAGCACACTTATTTACTCTCACCTTTAATGTTTTAAATTAATTATAAATTAATATATAATATATCAATTATATATAAATTAGTATTAATAAATATTTTTTTATATTAAGAACGGAATAAGGAATATCTTTTATTCTCTTTACCTTCTCTCTTTTCGATCACCTCTCTCTCTATCTAACACACACATTCTCTATTCTTTCTCCAACTCTATTTTTTTTTCTTCGATTTTCTCTGTTTTTCTCTATTTTCTCATCTACTTTATCCTTTTTTTTTTTTAGAGAATTTATCAATATATTTCAATTATTTTACTATAGAGTTTTAACTTAGCAATTTCCTTTCATGTTGCACAATTGGTGTTCGAATTGAAATTGTCAATCATTAAATTTTGAAGGTGTTTGATTCTCCATCATTGAAAACCATTAAAAAGCTTTGAATTCGAATTTGGGTTTTCAAAAATATTATTTGTTTGGATTGAGTGTTGTTACAAATAACTGAGAATATTCTTTGGAGTTTATATCTCAATTTTGAGTGGTGTTTGGTGAACATTAGAGTTGATTTTGCCTGAATTTCAGATTGAAACTCGAAGAAGAAGACACATGACATTCAATATATATACAAAATTGTATTAAAGTTGTATGTAAATTGTATTTAAGTTGTATTCTGTTGTAGTTATATTTTAAAAAAAAATTGAATGTTATATGAAAGTTAAAAAATTGTTGTATAATGTATGAATTGTATGAAATTTGTATTTAAGTTAAAAATACTATCTTTTTACATAAGCTTGTTGGTATGTATTAAAATTGTATTAAGAGAGGAAGTTTTGATTGGAATTTCAGAGAGGAAAAAGAACACACCACATCAAAATATTACAAATCATATACAAAAGACATATTGTATAAAATTTGTATGAAAATTTATTTAAATTTTTTGATGTTGTAGTTGTATTTAACTAGGTAAAAATGATGTATGAACGTTGTAAATAAGTTATAAAAAAATTGTATATTATATAATTAGTTCTATTATTATTTTTTGTTTATATGTTGTTGTAGATGAATCAAATTTATACGGAATTTTATTTTTAATTTGTATATTGTTGTACTATACAATTTATCATCGTCGAGTTTCTATTGCTGCTGCCGCTGGTGCTACATCCACGAAGGTGGAGGCATTGAAAATTTTACTTAAATTTCGAGTTTCATGGAGGTGTGCGTCCAGTGGCGAAGCCACATGGTCACAAGGGTGGTCAGCTGACCATCCTTTGTCAAAAAATTATATTGTGTATATAGGTAAAATATTACATTTTAGAGGCATATAACACATATTGAACACTCTTTGTCGGGAATGTTTTTTTACTTCTTTCAAAATTGAATAATCTTGGGAAAAATTCTAATTTCGCCACTGTGTGCGTCCATGATTCAATATTTAACTATCCACGCTTTTGGGTAGGGAGAGACGACAAAGAATAGAGAAAGAGGAGAGGAGAGGAAAAAAAAAAGAGTGTAATTGAATCTCCTAATTTAAGATACTAATAATGAATTGTATATGGAGAGAGGATGTAGAGAATAGGGAAATAGGAGAAGAGAAAAAATGAGAACAATGTAACTGAATTCCCCAATTTAAGACACTAATAATGAATTGTATATAAATTGCAAGAAAATATAGTTATATTGGGTAATATATAAATCTAGAACAATTATAATAAATAAATTTTAAATATTGTATGAGAACAAAAATATTCCAAATTTTATTGATAAGACATTTACAACTGTAGCTTAAGATTATTATAAATTTTTTTAAATTGACACACTGACCCATCGTGCAAACTGTAATCCACTTTGTAATCAATAATGCAACAAAAATAAAATAAAATACAGCAACCATTTAAGCACTATCTGAAAGATTCCACAGACCAAGAACAGATCTAAGTTTTACTATATAGTATTCCTTTGATATTTGAAGCAACGGCTACCTCTCACCAATAACTTTTACAACACAACCTTAAATTTCAACAAAATCCTCATATCATTTTGTACTTTGAATCTCAAACTCTAAAACAATGTCGGATGTCAAGAACTTTCATTTTTTCATGTTTCCTTGGTTAGCTTTTGGTCACATGATACCATACGTAGAACTAGCTAAACTCTTAGCTGAAAAAGGTCACAAAATCTCCTTTTTTTCCACTCCAAAAAACATCCAACGACTCCCTAAATTGCCTCCAAATTTCAAACCCCATATAGAATTTATTACTCTTCAATTACCCCATGTTGAAAATCTCCCTGAAAATGCAGAAGCTACAAGTGATTTACCTTATAATAAAGTTAGGTACCTCAAAATTGCCTTTGACAGACTCCAAGAATCCATGCCCAAATTAATAGAATCCATTTACCCTGATTTTGTAATTCAAGATTTTGCTTCTTATTGGTTAGTTCCAATTACTGAAAAATTACAAATCCCCACTATTTATTTCAGCATATTTCCTGCAACTTGTTTAAGTCTGGGGGGAATTCCTTCTAGTATTATAAATGGAGATAATGATCGTGTTAAGCCTGAAGATTTTACAGTGAAACCTAAATGGGTAACTTTTGAAACCAATGTAAGGCCAAGTTTTTATCAGATTCAACGTATGTTCAATGACTTGGTCATAGATGGAGGTAATGTTTTAGAATTTATAGATCTTTGTTTTTTGTTTACATCCAATGTTTTCGTACCTGCATTAGGATCCGACTAAATTTTGGTTCGTGCCGGAAAATCTCACGTAGGGGTAAAGTCCTCATTAACAAAGATGACTTCATACTTAAGACTTGAACCCGAGATTTCTGATTAAGTATAAATGAGTACTTACCACTCCATTATAACTCTAGTTATTAGAATTTATAGACTTGCATATGTACGTATATGCATTATTAGCAATATTTGTATGTTATTTGTTATAGTAAAAGGTTTGACTCAAATTTAAAGTGGTATACTGAGGTTATACCAAGGTTTAACGTTAAATGGATCTAAGACGCCTCATAAAGTATATATCTATTTTTATGTCTAGATAGTTTGGCATAATTTTTATTTTAATGATGGACTAAATTAAAAAAAAATGTAACTATGTATTATTTAAACTTATGGTGACAAGTGTATATGCGTTTAACATGTGTTAAAGTATGTGGGTAGAAGTAGTTTTGTTCATGTCTTTGTTTATTTCTTGTGTTATTCTTGTATGCTATGTTGATTGTGAGACTCCTTGTACATGTTATTAGCCATGCTTGGGGCCTTGATGAGATATAAGAGCGAGTTGTCTCTTGAAATGTTGTTTGGCTACTAAGCTCTAGTCATATTTATCCTTAGTATATTATGCTTACTCATTTTCTCCACGGTATTATGTTATATTCCTTGCCATGTTGTTTGATGGGTGTTTCCATATGGATTGGTATTGAGGTTTGGATCGGGTTGCATGCTGCAACGGTGTTAAGATTTGGATTGGGTTGCACACCACAACCGTATTAAGATTGGACCGGATTGCATGCCACAGCGATATAGAGGTTGGATCGGGTTCTGCTGCGACGGATGTGATGCATTGAGCTTATTTCTTGTTCCTATATTATTGTTATAGGAAAAGGTTGACTCAGATTTAAAGCGGTATACTGAGTTAATACCACAGTTTAACGTTAAATGGATCTAAAGCGCCTCATAAAGTATATATATGTTTTTATGTGTAGATAGTTTGGCGTAATTTTTAGTTTAGTAGTGGACTAAATTAGAAAAAAAATGTAACTATGTGTTATAACGTTATTTGAAAGAAGAAAATTTTTGTTGATAATTTAACATGATAGATTCTGAAAGAAGATAATTTTTATTTTAAAATTTTGTTCCGACAGGAAATGTTTCCGATATTTATCGCCTCGCAGTGACCGTGAAAGGCGTTGATGTAGTGGCAATAAGGAGTTGTTACGAGTTCGAAGGCGAGTGGTTACAAGTCATAGAAAACATTTACGAGAAACCAATTATTCCAATTGGTTTGCTTCCCACAACTAGCTATGATGATGGAGAAGAAGATAACAATGAAACATGGCTAGAGATGAAAGCATGGCTAGATATGCAACAAAAAGGTACTCTCACATAGACTGTACTCCTTCCATCTCATTTTATGTAGAAGAATTAACTTAAATAGCCGATCATACAATCGCTTAAAATAAAAATAGCTATATATATATATGTGTGTGTATAACGATATATAGTCAATGCATAATCTATGTATACTGGCTAGGAATAGTAAACACTGAATCCAACCCGCTATTTATGTAAAGATCCCTTTTATGTATGTACTTTGATTGAGCATGAAATTTAAGAAAGAAAAACTTTTTAAATTTTTTGGTTCAAAACAAACTATAGATATTTGTATGATTATAAATCATCTCATTAAAGATAAAATAAAAAGTTTAAAGTTATATTGTTTCTAAAGACAAAAAGATTTTATTCTTTTTTTTTTTTTTACAGAAAAAGGGGATTTTTACACAAATAGCCGGCCATATTCATTATTTATTTTTTCTAGCCATATATGTAAATTAAACATTTATTATACACAATTATACATTCATAATACATAAATTATGCATATGTACCTTCACCGGCTATTTTAGTTTAACCTGTTAGGTGGGTGGCTATTTGGGTTAATTCTTCAAAAATAATACATCACATAATTAGGATAGGGGGAAGTGAATTATCTAGCATCGAGAGGCAAAACTGATGAACAGCTTTATCCATTAAAAGACTTGATATTTCTATTTTATTTAGAACTTGAATTTGAATTGAAAAAATAAATTTAAGTTTTAACTTTAATTTGGACATGTTTGTTTATGACATAAGAAGGCTATTCTAAATACCATTCTTTCAGTTTTATAAATTCAGGTCTTCTCTAATCAATGGCTATAATTTGCAGTATGTATACGACTCGTATCCTTGTCTATATTTTACATGTTTGTTTATGAAATAAGAAGGCTATTCTAAATTATACCATTCTTTCAGTTTTATGAATTCAGGTCTTCTCTAATCAATGGCTATAATTTGCAGTATGTATACGACTTGTATACTTGTCTATATTTTCTTAAAGTATACAGATAATATCTCTTTGTTCTTATTTTTGTTACTCTATTATTCTAACAGGTTCAGTAGTTTATATTGCATTTGGGAGCGAGACAAAGCCAAGCCAAGATGAACTAACAATCATAGCATTAGGTTTAGAACTTTCAAACTTGCCTTTCTTTTGGGTGTTTAGAAAACAACGTGGATGTGCAGATTCAAAAGTGATCGAGTTACCTGAACAATTCGAAGAGAGAACAAAAGGACGTGGATTTATATGTACGAGTTGGGCACCTCAATTAAAATTACTGAATCACGAATCAATAGGTGGATTCTTGACGCATTCTGGATGGAGTTCAGTAATAGAGGCAGTACAATTTGAGAAACCGTTGATATTATTGCCTTTTTTAGCCGATCAAGGGATGATTTGTAGCCACTTGACTGAGAAGAAATTGGGATATCCAATTTTTAGAAATGAATTGGATGGATCATTTACTAAAGAATGTGTGGCTAAATCTCTGAGGCTGGTAATGGTGGAGGAAAAAGGAAAAATTTATAGCCAAAATGTTAAAGAGATGAAAGAGTCTTGTAGTAAGGATGTACAACAACGTTTTGTGGATAATTTGTTGGCTTATCTACAGAGTCACAAAAGGTTTCAAAGAAGAGAAAGCAATTAGGTGAGATTGATTCAGGTTCGAGTTTCAGAAGGAAAACTTCTTGATAGGGAGCGCTTTACTCTTTGATGTATTTGGATTAGTCGGATATTATGTCTCTTGCACCCTTTTCCCTGGCTTATGGCTATGCTGCACCTTTATATATGTTATGTAAAAGTTATAAAATAAATAGACGCTGGAGTCTTAATTAGCAGGAAAATTTAGATTCTCAATGGGAAATATGGACTGAATTGGCAATCTAATATAAAAAAGTTGTGTCCTACTATGTATTTTTGTGTGAGATAGTGTTTATAAATTGAAAAGAAAGTGGTCATTATTTTGGTGTAACTCATAAAATTATTAATGCCATAATCTACCACTAATTACTTACCAAAGATTAAATTTTATAACCACCAACCATGTTCTACAATTTTATTATTCCACTACCTTATTATTTATTTTATGGAAGAGATTCTACACCTATAAATAATGGTGTTTCTTCCTTGTATTTGGTGTGTGAAAGTATGGTAGTGTGTATGAAAAATGTAAACTTGGTGTAGTGAAAAAGAGAGTTAAAGAGAAGGAGAAAATCTAAGTCTCCAACTTATTCTCTACAAAAGAGAATATTATTTTTGTTGAAGGGTGTTCATTTTGGTGGAGCTTTGAACTTAACAACTTGTCCAGAGTTTGTTCGAGTCATACGACGTTGTCGGGTTGTTATATCCTGGAGGGGACAAGTCAAGAGTATTACTGCTGGACCGGTAAAGATACTACCGCAGTGGGCTTGAATTTCCTTAAAGAGAGCGAGATATATGCGCCTCAACCTGAAGAATATTTTTTATTTTTCTTCATATTATTTTTCAATGTAATTATTTGTAATTTCACCAACAATTTTAAGGAGATTCAAATTTTTTATGCAGTTAAAAAAATAACGGATATCAAGGTGGAAGTTCACTCTATTCATAGAGAGGTAAAAAATTTTCTACTTGTTTAGCTCAAGCGGAGAAAAGGTAAAAACTTTTTACCTTATATTTTTATGACTATGTGATTATATTATTTATGATTATGAATTTTCATAATTCTAGAAATAGTGGGGGCAAAAGAAATAAAATATTCTTGCATGAAAATTTTGAATATTCATGCATGAGTGAATATTGATTAAATCAAAAGAGTGTGATAACTGCATCTATCATAAGTCTTGGAATAATTCATATGTTGTTGTTTGCCTCTATATTGATGATTTATTAATATTTGGTTGACACGAATATTATTGGAGAAACTAAAAGCATGCTTAGTAGCCATTTTGATATGAAAGATTTGGGTGAGGCAAATTTCATTCTTGGAAAAAACATTACTAGAACATGTGATAGAATTTTCCTTGACCAGTCACATTATATTGAGAAAATTTGCAAAAATATAATTTTATTGATGGCAAGAATGTTGTAACCCCTTTTGATTCAAGTGTTCACTTATTTCCTGTACAAAGTGACAATGATGTGATAAATCAAAAGGAATATTTTAGCTTAATTGGAAGCTTGAGAATATGTGACTGATTGCACTTGGCTAGATATATTGCATACGCAGTAGGAGTACTTAGCAGGTTTACAAGCAAGCCAAATGCCATACCAAGAGTTATGAGGTATTTGCTTGGTACAAAAATCTATGGCTTATTTTATAAAAGATATCCTGTTGTACTTGAAGGCTTTTCTGATGCAGATTGGAATACTTTATCTGGTGATTCATGTTCTACTACAAGTTATATTTTTATTTTTGGGAGGTAGTGCTATTTGTTGAAAGTTAAATAAAAATTACCATAGAGGCTGAACTAATTGCTTTAGCTTCAGCTAGTGAAGAAGCGAATTGATTGAGAGATTTATTATTTTAAATTCTTTATTTTAAAAAAAACCAATTCCTTCTTTTAATTTATTGTGATAGCACCGCTGCTATTGGTAAAGTACAAAACTGTTATTACAACGGTAAGTCCAGACCTATAAGGAGAGAAATATAATTTTGTGAGATATTTGACAAGTGGTACTATTAATGTTGATTATGTGATAATTTTGCAGATCCACTAACCAAGGCCTTGGCAACAGAAAAGGGTCTGGAGTACATCGAGGGGATGAGATCGAAGCCCATAAACTCATAAGTCATATATGAGGAAACCCAATCTGTGGACTAGAGATCCTATAACCAGATTCAATGGGAAAAACGAATCATATGATGGCTTGGTTTGAATTGCATTATTACATTTATTATTGTTCCATCCCTATGGTGTGAATGCATTTATCCTGTATTAATTTGCGAGGTTGAGTTTTATTAACTCTTAATGAAAATCTATAGCTCATATGAGTAGGGTGTTAGAGTTACAAGAGCACCCTTGAAAAATTTCACCTATGTGAGTGTGGAAGTAGGCCGCTTCCTATGAGAATTGGGCTGATTCTCAAAAACGCTCATGAAAATCGGGATAACACAAGGCCGTAATGTACTGGCTAATAAAGATCATGCCAACACCTTGATTATTATGTGTAAGCAGTGATACTTTATTTGTAACGACCCGGACGGTCGTTTTGAGAGTTAGAGCCCCGAACCCCTATTAACTGCTTTCCCCATATCTATTTCTGTTATTGTGACATGTCGGGATGATTGGTTTTGAGTTTCGGAGTATTTTGGGACACTTAGTCCCTAAATGAGAACATAAGTCTTATAATTTAGATTGTAGTCGGAACTATGTGAAGACGGTCCCGTAATAGAATTTTCGTCGGTTTCGTTAACTCCGTTAGGTGATTTTGGACTTAGGGGCGTGTCCGGATTGTGTTTTGGAGGTCCGTAGCTTATTTAGGCTTAAATTGGCGAAAGTCGAATTTTTGAAGTTTTGGACCAGTAGTGAAAATTTTGATATAGGGGTCGGAATCCGATTCCGAAAGTTGGAGTAGGTCCTTAATATTTAATATAACTTGTGTGCAAAATTTGGGATCAATCGACGTGGTTTGCTTGGTTTCGGCATCGGTTGTCGAATTTAGAAGTTTCAAGTTCTTTGAGTTTGAATCCGAGGGTAATTTGGTATTTTGATATTGTTTTGAGTGATTCGAAGATTCGACTAAGCTTGAATGATGTTTTAGGAATGGTTGGTATATTTGGTTGAGGTCCCGAGGGCCTCAGGTGTATTTAGAATGGTTATCAGATGAAATTAGCTGTTGAAAAGACTGCTGGTGTTCAGGTATTGGTCTCTCAAGTTGGGAACGCGGACCGCGGCGGAATTACGCGTCAGCGGTGGAAGTTGTCAGGGGAGGCGGAAATTCCGCGGACAGCGGTGGAATTCCGCGGGGGCGGAAAAGTTCCGCGTTCAGCGGAATGCTTTTTGCAGCCGCAGTGGAAATTCCGCGGACCGCGGTTCGCGGGGGCGATGAGTTTTTCGTGGTCAGCGAAATTGGAATCCGAGGAGTGCACTATAAATACGAGATTCAGGGTTTTATTTTCATATTTTGACGATATTTCGAGGGATTTCCACAAAAACCAACGGGGTAAGTAATTCTAATTCAGTTTTGGCTAAAATACATGATTATATCACTGATTTCATCATTTGATTCGTACTTTGGGGTGAAAAATTGGAGAAAATAATAGAAACTTCATAAAATGGGTTTTGAGAGTTGAATGTCGATTCGAAGTCGTATTTTAAAAATTTTAGTATGGTTGGACTCGTAAGTGAATGGGTGTTCGTAATTTGTAATTTTACCCGATTTTGAGACGTGGGCCTGGGGAGACTTTTAGGGCATTTTTCCTAATTTCACGTTTTAGCTTCGAATTAATTAGTTAAATTAGTTACTTGTAGTTATATTTACATTGTGTAATTGCTTTTGGCTAGATTTGGGCCATTCGGAGCCGAATATTCGTGGGAAAGGCATTGTGATCGATTAATTGAGCTTGACTCGGGGTAAGTGGCTTGCCTAACTTTGTGTGGGGTAAATCCCCTTAAAATTTGGAACTATTGTGTTATGTGAGCGCCGTGCACATGAGATGACGAGTACGTATACGGGCTAGTTGTGGTAAAACCCGATTTTCTTACCGAGCAGCAACATGTTTTCCTGTTATTTTGAGTTATACATTTTAATGAGTACTAATATATTTCCATTCTTAATTGAGTTATTCCAATATGTGTAGCTATCATGTTTAGTCTAATATAACATGTTTACGTGTCTTAATTATTTATGTGAATTATGTGCAGCATGTTAGTGAATTTCCTGCTTCCCTGACTCGTACTTAATCTAAATTGTAAGAATTTCATGATATAGTTGTATTTCTATCATTCGCGCTGTATATTTACTTTGGAACTACGGAATGGTATTGCGGGAGATCCCCCTGTCTTGTATATTTACTTTGGGACTACGGAACGGTATTCCGGGAGATCCCCCTGCTCATTTACGTTTGGGACTACGAGACGGTATCTCGAGAGATCCCCTGTTGTATTTCTGTGTACTGAGCTGTTACCTTCTATGATTTTATTGTTGTTAAATCTCAGCCTTTATTTTATTGCGGTGTTACACCCTATATTATTTTATTATATATTTACCAGTAGGGCCCTGACCCGACTTCATCACTACTCGACCAAGGTTGGGCTTGGCACTTTCTGGGTACCGATTGTGGTGTACTCATGCTACTCTCTTCACATGTTTTTCGTGTGCAGATCAAGTTGCACCTCATCATCCGCACTATCAGTGAGCCAGGACAGTTTTGGAGACTTCAAGGTATATCTGTCGCGTCCGCAGACCTCGGAGTCCCCTTCTACTCTTTTCTATGTCTATTATCTTCTGTATTTTTCCTTGTTAGACTCCGATGTATAGAGACACTAGATCTTTTCTTTTGTAGCTTGTGATTCACGATGTTCCGGGTTTTGGAATTTGTTGTGTATTTTTGAATAATTGGTTAAATTTTTATTTTTATTTTTATTTTATTATTCTGCAAAAATGTTAGGCTTACCTAGTTGTAGAGACTAGGTGTCGTCACGACATCACACGGAGGGGAAATTGGGTCGTGATAAGTTGGTATCAAAGCTCTAGGTTCGTAGGTGTCGTGAGTCACAAACCGATTTATTAGAGTCTCGCAGATCGGTACAGAGACGTCCGTACTTATATTCGGGAGGCTATGAAATTTTTAGGAAAATTTCACAACTTTGATTCCTTGTCGTGCAAAAATTTGATGACTTTAGAGATTCTAAATTTCTGTATTCTATTCTCTCACAGATGGGGAGGACACGTACAAGCGGATCTGATGAACAGGCACCCGCGC